ACAGAGGCTAGATGGGGCGCGGCCTGCTGTGCCTCAACCTCCCACAGCCCCTCCCCTTGCTGGCCTGGCTCCAGATCACCCCCTGCCCACCAGTGGGCAGGGGGGCGGGGCCAGCACAAAGAAGCAAGGGCCTGCCGGGGCGGCCGGCAGTGGCAGCAGCAGGTTGATGGGGGCAGCGCCTTCCCATGATTGGCCCAGTCGCCTCCCACAGAGGGAGGCCAGATTGCTGCTTAGGCCTGCTCCCCCTAAGCTGTCAGTAGGACATGCCCTGAGGGCTTCCGGATTGTGAAAGGGGAAGGCTGGGCTGGGGACCCCCTCCAGTGCAAGAATTTTCATGCACCAGGCCTCTAATATGATAAAAATGAAGTTGCTCTAAAAGGAGTGAAGAAATCCAAAACCCTACTTGTTGTCTCTCTGTAGCAAATTCTAGAACGCTTGGACAAAGCACATAAAACACAAGATATATGTTTTCTATACCATTGAATAATTGTGCACAATTTTATCTGTCCGAAACACAGTGGAACACAGTCTAAAAGACATTATCCTACACCATAAAGTCTTGGTTGTTCTGTTAAAATATTTGAGACCTATAAGGTATGAGCACCAGGAAGGATTATTTACGCCTCAAATCTGTATTAGACCTACTAATAACACAGAAGTACTTCGAATGTACCCATCTCTCAGCCATTTAAAAATAAAATCTGAAATAAGGATCTTTTTTGTTGTTGTTGTTTTTTGTTAATTCTCATCTTTTCTCACACTCCCTAAATAGCCTTCTTTGAAAAGAAAGGAAGCTCAGGAAATACAAAAATGGACTGAGGATATTTTTTCCATTGATTTTTAGAAAGAGTGGAAGGGGGAGGAAGGGGAGGGGAAGAGAGAGAGAAAAAACAACACACCAACCATTGATGTGGAAGACACACTGATTGGCTGCCTCCTGCATGCACCCCACCAGGGCCGGGATCGAACCTACAACCCAGGTATGTGCCCTTAACTGGTAATCAAACCCATGACCCCTCAGTGCTGAGGCCGCCGCTCTAATGACTGAACAACACTAGCCAGGGTTGAAATAAGGATCTTGACTCAAACATCAAATTGTCACAAGCAGCAGGAGAGAGTCAAGTACTTATTTACCAGTAGCTATAAATATGTCCTTATAAATATCAGGGAAATATAATACAAGATCAACAATTTATTAGAGCACATATTTACAGATGGAGTGAGTATAATTTGTACTGAGCTATCATCTCTACACTTGGTCGCATAACATATCCAATGTCACTGATTTACCAGATGACAATTAGAACTGGCTGCCAGGTATGGCTATAGAAAAGACTAAAGATAGTTACAACACAAATATACAAAAACCAACTAAGTGGTCTACACATATAGGAAAAGTAATCCCTTCAATAATAAATGAGAACTTAAAAAAAGCTGAATTAAACTAAATCTCCAGAATTACAAGTGTGTACTATTAGCAATGGTATGGCATCATTAAATGTAAACAACTTTTAAAGTATACCTGGTCACTATTAGTGACAGGACTATTTTTCTTATCCATTGCTCATATTATAACCTTATTCTCATGTCTCAAAACTCATGGTTAAATAGTATTTCCTTAAAAAACACACACAAAACTTTGAAAATTGTTTTTACCTCTTCCTCCTCAATTTCAGAGGTGTTAAGTTTGTGTTTTTCACAGTAAGGACCCTCTTTCCAAGCTTCAGTGTCACCACAGTCACAGAAACCTCCACCTCCTGACGTTGTCATCTTTAAAAAAATCATAAAACATCTTGTCAGTAAGTGCTGAGGGCTCTCAGATCATAAGAAAGGCAAGTTAAGGAAATAACATTGCTAGAGTGTTTAAATTTCTTTGCAGGGATGAAATTTTAAAAAAAGGCAAACCTCTTAATATTTTAAAGCTTATATTAAATATGCCTATAAGCTAATAGAAGTGATTCAAAATAAAATAAGCTACCTTGTAGTGAACTAGTAAACAATAGATATTTTAAAGAGATAAAATATGTCACATATGTAAGTTTCTTAATTAGGGAAATTAGGAGGGTTTGGGGGCTGGATTTTGGCTAAATTGGTATAATGCTGGTCTTTATGCTAGCAGGTTACAGTGCTATAATGTAATATGCCAGATTCAAGAGTTATAAGAACTAGAATAGTTCAATAAGAGTGCTGTATCTGCATTAGAGGAAGTAAGCAATAAAAACTAGAAAGACCGTTTATTTTTCTTTTCTTACACTCCCTAAATATCCTTCTTTGAGAAGGAAGCTCAGGAAATACAAAAGTAGACTGCCTGGTCACAAAAAACCTTTGCACCACTTGCAGGGTTCAATAATTATTTATACTTCTTTTTCTTCTTTTTTTTGGGTAAAGACAGTTTATTCAATAAATGGTGCTGGGAAAATTGGACATGTACAGGCACAAAAATGAAACTAGACCACCTTCTTATACCATACACAAAAATAAACTCAAAATGGATAAAGGACTTAAATGTAAGTGATATCAGAGTAGTGGCATCCTGAGAGATTCCCCTGATCTCCCCGCCTTGAAATTATAAGAATTTGAACAGCCATATCACAACAAAATATTCCCTGTTCAATGCACAAATACACCTGAGCGATCTGTGCACTGAAACATCTAAAGGTGGGTAGATGGAGCAAGGGAGGAAGGCAAAAGGGGGTGGGGCTGATACAAACCAGGGAGACAGCCCAGAGAGGAGAGGAATCCTGCTGCTGCTGACGTCCCCTCAGCCAGGAGAAACAGGGGAGCTGGGTGGGCAATCCTGCAGGTGCGAGCAGGACTAGTTATGGCTGAGCTGAAAGATCATTTGCAAAAAATGACTAGGCAGTATGTCTGGGGTAGCTTTAGTAGCTCTGGTCAGGGAAGTTAGGAGCCATTCTGGAAGTTGGGAAGTCCAAAAGAAAGGTGCCAGCCAGAAGGTTTCACCCTGAGGCCGCTTCTCTTGCCTTGGAGATGGCCACCATCTTACTTTGTGCTCCGATGACCTGTCTTTGCATTTCCACGTAAGGAATGGGGAGGAGCAAAAGAAGCTACTTATTCTTTTAAGATATGGAAATGATTCAAGAAATCTGGCAAGACAGAATCTATTAGTTAATCATTGGTAGACTGGAAATTCTGCTCTTTAAAAAATTCTGAGAGTTCAGAAATGTTTAAGTGCAAATTTTAGATCAGCCTTAATATATTTTGCCCAAACTATCTGTGTGTTATATATCACAAATAATTAATGTAAACCCACAAAAGACAGTTATTCTAAGGGACTGCAAAGATATATGTCAAGAAACATGGGCAGGCAGGCATCTGAAAAATGCTAACTCCACCCTAGAGTTTTCATGCACATTCTCTTACTGAAGATAGGTAGAACAGCTTAAAGCAGTGGTTCTCAACCTTCCTAATGCCGCGACCCTTTAATACAGTTCCTCATGTTGTGGTGATCCCCTATTTCTTTGTTACAAATTGAACATAATTAAAGCATAGTGATTAATCACAAAAACAGTATGTAATTATATATGTGTTTTCCGATGGACTTAGGCGACCCCTGTGAAAGGGTCATTCGACCCCAAAAGGGGTCGCGACCCACAGGTTGACAAGCGCTGGCTTAAAGAAAACTGGGATTCTCTTACTGATTTATGAAAATAAAGAGAACACAAACATACAAGGAGTTCAATTTTATAGCTGTTTTTAGTTCGTTATTATCAATATTTGGGTACTATGAATAAATCAAATAGGAGGAAAAGTCCTGAACCAACAGGGCTCCTGAAATAATAAGACTGCAATATTCTCTACCATTTTATTTGAGATTACGGTGGAAAAAGCTCCAGCTACTATCAGTTCCCTAATTTCTGAATGTTCATGGATCTGTTTTGAACTTTTAATAGAGAAACCAAGACAGGCTTAATAATAATCTGCCTTTGTCATATCCTTGACTTAAAAGAAACAAACCTGATTTTTGTAAAAGTGCTGATTGCATTATAGCAGAGAAAAAAATAAAAATAAAATTAGTGGGTCTTATGTTTTGGAGTTGAGCCCTCTTCTACACTTGTAGTAGCTGCCTCTTTAATATTAAGAAATGACAAATCTTCTGTGGACGATGACCAATAAATAGAACATTTCTGAAATGTATAATCCTATCACTTTTCCTTGTCTCACACAAATCCCTTTAGGAACCTCCCTCTCACACTTTTAACTCAACTTTAGCCTCTGATTTTTGATAACCCCTTTCTTAAACCTAGAGTTTTGAAGATAATAAACATAGAAAAACATCAAGATAAACTAACTGAAAACTAATATGGAGGAGCTGGTATCTGTGTTGTCTTTCTTAAACCACATGTTCCAAGAAGTCTGGATTCATAATTCATATCTATACTGCCATTGTATGTTTAATGGTGTTTAAATAACACATTTCTTAAACCACTCTCTCCTATTTTAGTGTTAAACCTTGGAATTTTAAAAAAGCAGAAAAGGTAGGTACTGTATTTGCCGGCGTATAAGACAATTTTTTGGCCCTGAAAAATATGCCTCCAAGTGGGGGGTCGTCTTATACGCCAGGTACACTTCAGATAGACTGCCCATAGTGCTTGCCCCGTGCCATAGTGGCCTCCCGATGCCCGCCCACT